CATTTTGCACTGGCTGAAATATAATTTGCGCAAGTTGACTTATGTCCAAAGGGACCAGCTCATCAGTGGCTACCAAGTGTAATAATTGCATGACTGCAGAATTTAGACCATGTTGGGTAGCAGCCTTCTGTCAATCTTGTATTGCTTTCCAGGCAAATGCAACATGCTCATCGCCCTGGCCCTGTTGGGTGGCACAAATTACTGTAAACACCAGGGGCCCAGTAGACTCTTTTTGGACCGTAATGCGACTGTCTCACAATCCAGGTGTCTGGATAGCCTCGGCTAAGTCCCAATTCCCCTCCTCCATGGCTCGCTTCTTCATCTCCTTCCAAAAACTAGCAGGGTCTCTGGAGAGGACCATTATTTCGGAGGGAGGTAATGTCCAGGGCTGAGGAGGCCCACAGCATCTCCCTCCCTCTCATAAGGGTGTTTTCAAATCAGCTGGTTGGGGTTCCTCATCATCCCCCGGTCCTTCAGGTGGCAGGGGGGGTACACCTTGGGAACCTCCAAGTCTGTACCCACTTCCCCCACCACGCCTTCCATCTTCTCTGGTAGTGGAGGTGCAGAAGGTTCTGCCTGAGCCTTTTTGAGTCAATTTTGAGGGGGTGTCTTTTATATCAAGAAAGGGGTTTGCTGATCCCACGGCTATCGCCGTTTTTTCCAATCCATCCTTTGTGTCACTGTTGTTGTTATTAACTTTTTTGGTCCCATCTTGCTTTTGCTTAAGAGCTTTTAAGGTGTCTAATAATAATCGCCATGTAGATAAAAGTCCTAACACTTCCTTGTCACCCCGTGTTGCGCAGTCTATTAACTTTTCTCTTGTTTGCTCCCATACTGTTAAGATGAATGCCGTTTCAGTGGATGCTGGCACTCCATTACGTTTTCCCCATACCAGCATCCTCTGTAACATTAATTCGTCCATTTTCAGTCCCCACTTTTTCAATACTGCTTTCCATATGTTCAGCATACTAGCCTCCTCTTTCGTGTCACGCCCATGTTCCCAGTGGCTCACCTGGTACATTGGGTGTCAATTATCGGTCTGCAGACTTAGCAGCTCCACCGTTGCTCTCAGCTTCACCAGTCTCCATATCCACTGCACATCCAGCACTCAGCCTTTCTCAGTGTTCTGTTCGTCAGGGTCACCAATTATCACAGTCAAGACGGAAAAAAACTATGGTCGAGATGGACAAAACTACAAGACAGATTCTTCTTTAAAGCAAGTTAACACAAAACCCAAAAGCCTTTATTGCTCTCCTCCTCTGTTCCTTTATCCTTTTGCTACAGGGTGTACAGACTTTCCAGACCGCCTACTGACACGCCCCTTCATGTATGTGTTCATACATTGCATGTTCATGGAAATGAACCCTGGCTCTTGCCAGGGCGGAGAAGTTAATATGCATAAGCTCATCACGCAAGTGTAGTTAGATGAAAAATTCAAAAGTTTAGACTCGCAAGCTTTCTGGTATCTCTGTCCACCTACAACTAGCTCCAAGTATGGGGCTATTAGTTCTTCCGATGTGTCTCTTTTCTTATTGGTTCAAAGTCGTTATGCTTTCTTACTGCGGTCGATAAGCGTGCTCATCTTGCAGCTCCTCTTGTTCTTGTTTGCTCCCTCAGGAGTAGATTGGAATCCTTTCAAGGCCGAAGTCGTCCCTTCCCAGGGCCTCAGTCCAGCTGAGGTCCCCTACATCAATCCATGCAAATACTTACATTAGGATTCCCTGCTGGAGGGTGACCAAAAGACAAGCAGGCAGAGTTTAGGCAAGGAGCTGTCTGAAATGGCTTAGATGAACAGGGTCATAGGCTGAATGACCTCCAAAATCCTATTTCCTGTGACTCTGTGAGGGTTGTCTTACCCTCTTGGAGAGTAGTAGCTGCTCTTATAAAAAGCTAATAGACTTTCCAACAATAACAAGGAGTTTAAGGGAATGCCATTAGGTTATGCACAGAGCTGAATTCTGCACAAACCAGAGATCTTCCCTCATGGCCCCTTGTTGGTTTGCTCTAATATGGCATGAAGTAGTGGGGAAGACCATAATCACCAGCTGGAAGATGGTGTGACTCAGCAATATACATAATTTTGGGTAGCCAGAAGGGAACTTGTTCTGTAGTTCTTTTTGCACATCCAGATTCGTGCACTGAATGCATATTAATGATTCTTTGCAATTACAGGTGAGTACGTCTAAAGCACGGTGGGTTCCCCTCCTGCCTGTGATTTAATTGCTCTGTCATGACTACCAGAGGTATTCAAAGCCAGCACTGCCTCACAAGGCAGGCAGCAGTGGTTAATTACAACAGCAGTGTTCAGGTAAATAAGGCCTTTGGCAGATGAGCTTTGGTTGCTTCTGCTTCAGCAGTTTAAGGCATTACTGCTCTGCCAATTTGGCCTGGTGGTCTCCTCCAGTAACACAGATGGCAGGAAAGAATATAGGTCCCATACATCTGCTGGTGCTAGGTTTGAGGAGGGTTCTGAGTATGATTTCTAGATTGTAGACCCAGAAAACAAAGAAATAAACCTTCTACTAACTCCAGTAGTGAGGTTCTAGATGGCATTTTTCTCCACAATTTGAGGCCTGATAGATTAAATTACCTGGAGTGTGAGCACATGTTGGCTCTAAGGCTGTAAAATAGTCATTCTGTGTGATAAAGTCAGAGGGGCAAATGCAAGTTTAGGAGATGTGATAAAATCTCAGCCTTCATCAGGAGAAGAGAACAGTCCTGCTGAGGGACCAAAGACTCAACCAGAGACAACTGAAAACGCCGCATGCATTTATTCTGTGCAAAACCAACCAGCCAAAAAACTAACACCCTCTGTCTGCAAAAGGCCCTAGGCCAACAAGAGTTTTTCCAGTTGGAAAGTGAATATGGGTCCTTTCCTTAAGGTATTACTGTGTTTGGTTTCTCACTGCAAACAATATACTGATACACGCTTGGTTTTTGCAAGTAAATCATCTGATAGAAGAAGCAGGTGAATAGGAGAGGCAGGGGCCATTGGGATAGATGGAGCAGGAGTGGTCGGGAGGATTATTGGGAGAGAGGCCGCTCCAGGATAGTATCTGTCCACATGCAGACTCTCTGAATGTCTATAATTTAGAATATCTTAGAAAAATAACTGTCAAGGGATGAACTCTCCTGGAGAACAAATTCTGATCTCAGACTTGGTTGGTTTTCCTGGCACACATTTCCTCATTGCAAAAAGCATTTTTTACCCAACCCTATCAAGGAATAATAGAAAATGTGCTGTGGGTTATCCTTAGATATGCACTAACCTTGTACTTGCCTGTAACTATGAAAGCATGAAAAAGTAGAATAAGGCAAATGGGAATTATGACCATAGATAGAGCCTAGCTAGATCCTTTGATAGAAAGGGGAATTCTGCCATGTGTTATACATCTAATTTCAATTACATGTACCAAATGTAATTAGCTAGTAAAAGCTGTGGATAGCTTTTGTATGGGTAGAAGCATCTGCAAGAAAACCCAAACTGCCTGGCAACTGTATGCTTTCCTAGGGTGGTATCTGTTAGCGTTTTGAGGTTTCCACTGCAGAAGCAGAAATCAGACACTGCTTGGCAGTGCCTATTGTCAGGACACAATTTCATGTTTAAGGCGACATTCTTCAGTCTTAGCATGGGTTAGGAAGGAACGAATTACATGAGGAATGTGGTGGTAATCTGGTGGTTACATGTTCACATTATTCTCCTCTGCTATCCATATTGTGAGGAAACTACACAAAAGAAGTCAGGAAATGATCTCATAGACTCTTCTAGCCATACTAATAACCACAAAGGTGGAAGGAAGCACAGAGACGGTAAAAATACCCAGGACACAAGGGTAGATGGGCTGCTTTTTAACAGCCATTTCCCTGTGGACTAAGAAATGATATTCTTTTGCCTGGTTCAGACTTGTCTGCCCTTTAAGATAGATGCTTTAAAAAAGTCAACACAGAGAGACAAGAACAATTCCAGGACTGTTTTTTAAATGAAGAATTGTATTCTGTATAAGATTACACAGAATGTGTGGAGTTAAAGGAAATCCTTGAATAATGTGAGAGGGAATATCCTTCATTCTTACTTACGGAGAGGGTAGTTTATGAGGAATTGTATTTAGGTATGTCCTCTACAAGGGATATCCTGAGGTGGGAAGGGTGGGTGAAGGTACAGATTCCCCCACTTTGTCGACTGGATCACCTGAATACCAGCCAGAAAAGCTCCTGGGCTACCTAAGTTTATTTTGTATCGTGTATATAGACTTGCTTTCCAGGTGAGTGCAGCCCCACTAGTCTCACCTCAACAGCGTGCAAGACTCACGTTCACAGTTTGTGAGGGAAAAAAAAAAAAAAAAAGAAAAAAAAAGAAAAAAAAAAAATGTCAGGGCACAGAAGTAACTAAAAACCGGGGAAAACACACTACAGGTTTACCTAAGCCATACCGCGTAAGCCTTAGCTGATACAATTTCCCTTGGGAAGGCTGGCGACCGTAGGAGCGCCCTCCCCGCCGCTGCCGCCAAAACCACCTCAGCGCCGGGCGGGGCGGGGCCGCTGCCCTCTGGGGACTCGGCGGCGCCCGCACAGGGAACCGCCAGCCTGGCGGCTCGCAAGAGCCTCGAGTCGCTCTGCCGACAGAAGTAAATCAACAGTCGATCCCCGCTCCCTCCTCTGCTTCCTCCCGTTTCCACCGGCGCAGGCCGGCGGCCGGTTGGGGGAAGGGAGGGGGCGGCGGCGCCGGGGCACCGGCCGCGCCGTGCACCGCCCACCCCGGCCCTACAGGGGGGGCTCGAGCGCCGCCCCACCCCGCCCCGCCCCGCCCCGTCCGAGCGGTGCTGCGGCTGCGCAGAGGCGCCGGGACCACGCGCATGCGCAGCGCCGGGGCGGGGCGGGGCGGGGGGCGGCCGCCGGTCTCCCTGGTGCTGCCGCCGTCGCGGCTGCAGTTCCCGGATGTAGTGGCGGGCGCGCGGGGCCGGCGGTGGCTTGCCGCTGCGGGCGGGGCGGGGGGGGGGGGGGGGAGGGCAGCGCCGGGGGCGCGGGGGAGGGCAGCGCCGGGGGCGCGGGGGATGGGTGCCTAGGTAGGTAGGAAGGAAGCGAGCGAGCGGCGAGCGAGAAGAGTCGGCGGGGGGCTCCCGCCGCTCCGGCCGCGTCCCCCGGCCCGTCCGCAGGGTCCTTTCCCTCCGCCGCTCACCGTCGCGCCAGGATCGCCCCTCTCCCTCCCTCGCCGCGCCGGCACCCGCGGGCCGTGCCCTCCCTCCCCGCGCCCCAGGCGGCCGTCCCCATCGAGCTCCCCCCTCGCCGCCTGCGGGCTGCGCGCCCCCTCCAGCCGCCGCGGGGCCCGGGCCCGCGGGGCGCCGCCGGGATGAGCAGCTCTCGGAACAACCGGGTGATGGTGGAGGGAGTCGGGGCCCGGGTGGTCCGGGGCCCGGACTGGAAGTGGGGGAAGCAGGATGGCGGCGAGGGCCATGTGGGCACCGTCCGCAGCTTCGAAAGCCCCGAGGAGGTGGTCGTGGTGTGGGACAACGGCACCGCCGCCAACTACCGCTGCTCCGGGGCCTACGACCTCCGCATCCTCGACAGCGCGCCCACCGGTGAGAGGCGGCCGCGGGGGGTGTGGGGGGCAGCACCCGGGGGTCCCCACAGCGGGGTGTGAGGGTCGGGTGCCCGTCCCTGGGGACGAATTGCTCCTGTTCTTTCCCTTTTCGGGGTATGCCTTGCCTTCTCGTTGGTTTTTTTTTTTTGTTTTTTTGTTTTTTTTTTTTTTGAGGCGGGGGGGGGGGGGAAGTCAGCTACCCTCCCCCTTCCCTTCGCATGGCCGCGCGTGGGTGTCTTTATGTGTGCGTGCGTTTGTATATGCACAAGGTAACTTAGGGTAAATACACAGTGTGTGGCCGTGGGGAGGGGAGAAGTTGTCCTGGGACCTTTAAATTGGGGTAGACAAAGCAAAAGTGATCTGCCATAGAGAGAGGGCTCCCGGTGTGCTGGGGGGAGGGGGGAGTGTGTGCAGTGTAGGGAGGGAACCGAGAGGATGGTACCTCAGGGTTTTGTTTTTTATCTTCTTCCCCCCCTCCCCCCCGAATCTATATTTCAGAGCTGTTTTGTAAAATGGTGACAGATATTCTGAGTCAAGTATAGGGAGGATTGCAGAAAAGAGGTGTAGTGCCTTTTTGGTAAAGGATACATTAAGTGGTTGAAATACTGTTTTGTCTTGTAATATGTACCGTTGCCTTTTATCTGTTTTGCCAGACCTGCTGTAAAATAGTGTAGGTACTGGAAAAAAAATGCATTCATTCATTCTTTTAATTACTTGGCTGCTTGATATTTATGCTTCAAATTCAGTCAGTTTGGACAATGGATTTAGATCTGCACTGACATTATGCGGCAGTGTTAGTGTTGCAAACACTGCAGGGAAGTGTTCATTTTAGCACCTGTTTTTACAGTGAAAATTCACAAAGAAAAATATATTCTTTAGTTTCATCAGAAATATAGTGTTGGTTTTGAGCTGGGCAGGATTGCCTCAATAATGAGGTGATTGGACCGATTTGTTGGGGTACTTAGATGTACTGTTTTTGTAACGTGTCTTTCATTTAGAAATATGATGGAGAGGAGAGACCATCTTTGAGCCAGCTATGTGAAGGGTTACAGGAAGGAAAATTATAGCAGTGGGTTGAAGCTAACAGACTTTTGAAGAGACAGAATGATGGAATTCATTCTAATTAATTAAAAGAATGTTGCTAAGAAGAAAACCCCAACCACCACACATTGCACCATGAACCTTTGAGATGGATTGATTTTTTTCTGTCTGGGTACCTTCCTCTCCCCTGGTGTCATGGCTGTTTTTTTGTTGTTGTTTTGGAGGGTAGATGTTATTAAAATTGCTGCAAATAATTTTGAAATGGACCTTAGAACAAGAAGTTAAGAGTAGTCTTTCAAGTTTTCAGTCATTGTCTTGCAGATGTTTATGCTTTGAAACTTTACCTGCATTTGATGTCCTGTAGAAACCAGTGGGACTACTTCTGCTTAAAACTGAAGTGTATGCATGTGTTGAATATGAGCCTTGAATGCTCATCATTCTTGCTCTGCTTGATATATTTGCAAGCTGACAGTATCCTGTTAACTGCATCTAGGAGCCCAGACTTAATACTCAGTTTTAAGTCCCGTTGTTTTTTTTTTTTTTTTTTTTTGGTGGTTGTTTTTTTTCTTTTTACTGCTTTATTCCTTCTAATTTTCAGTTATGTTTAATCTTTTATATTAGAATTTTAATTTCTGCTTCAGGTAGTACTGTGTGTTTCTGTGGAAAAAACTCAATGACATTGATGTTTTCAGGCTTTGCAAAATGCTATTTTTCTCCCTGAGGTTTTTGGCCAAGGCGTGCATCATCCTCTTGGAACTGCTGCATGGAACTACCCAGGGTTGATTTTTGTTAAGGGGAGTTACTATTGAGGTCATGGTTCCCTGGAGATAGGAAGAGTAAAAATCTATGAAGTAGTAGCAGCAAAAGGGCAAAGTTCATGGAAATAGGATGCTGTCAATTTGGACCGAAATCTTGTTTTTACTGATTCACTTCATATTGGGCAAATCACTTTTCTTCAGTTTTCCACCTTTTTGTAATTACTTATTTTCCTCCACGGTAGCGACAATCCATTGTTTAGTGTAAGAGAGTCTCACTTTGAATGATAGTTTGATACTATCTCTAGGGACATTTAGATAATGTTTATATAAACAGTTACAGGAAAAGTGGGATTAGGTGACATAAATTTCTTATGGTAGTATTAATAATGATGCTGTTGAGCAAGGAAATATTATAAAACATGGGATGGCTTTTGGTTTGTTTGCACAGTGTTAAATCATGGTTCTTACAGTTTAAAATGTTTAAAATGAAAAAAATGTCTCTGGTTCATATATTTACAGTCACAACATGATTGTAAATTTGTAGTGAGAATTAATATAAAACTATTAGCAGTAGAAAGCAAAATTAAAATACTTATTGCGGGGAGTTCTTTTTATTAGGTATTCAAAACCAGACTTGCTGTATGTTCTTAAAAGTGGTGCTTGCAGCCAGAGTTGCTGCTTTGAAGAGTTTGAGGCCTGTGCAGCCAGAAACAGTAGTGATGCATCAGGAACCCATTGTGTTACAGAAGTAATGTGTGAAGCTCATTCTATTAAAAGAAAAAAACAACCCAACAAACAACAAAACCCGAGTTTGATATATGTATGTGCCTTCCCTTTGATGCCAGAACAATGCTTCATAGACTTAATGATGTACTACTGTTCTTGTATTTTAATGGTTGTAGGCTGTTGTTACCAGCATTGTGAGCCTATGTTAACTTTTTATAAAAACTTAAAATTCCAGTACTGAGATTTTAGGATGGTGGTCTTTAAAATAAAAAACTCATTCATGATTTACGTGAATTATCTCTTATAAGCTGTTTCTTTCAGGTGTAGTCATCTGGGTAATGAATGGTCCGTAATACGAAGTTTTGTTTTGTTTTTCAGTTATGCCTACTAGGCTAGCTGTATTGGCTGCCCATTGGTGATCATATTTACATTGGCCAGCATTTCTTCAACTGTAATTTTCTTCACGGTAATTGAGAGGGATTAGTAAACTAAGAATCTGAAAAGAAACTAAATTTCAGTTAGAAGAAAGGAAACTTCGGTTAGGGCCTTTATAGTGGGCTTCTAAATGGAGTAAGTGGTGGGATGTGGTACATTGGCAATGCAGTGTGGTTGCTTGATTACTTTCAGATAAATCCTGGTCTTTCTGTAAAGTGGCTTTTTGCCAGGATCTAGGAGTCTTGGGAGTCCCCTTTTTCTGATAGTGTTGTGGGAAAGAAACAGAAGGGAGTAGTTTTCCGAGTTGCTGAACAGAAGCTAAAAGTATATAAACACAAGCTTTATATTTAGAAACGAAGGCAGCCTTTTGCCAAAGGTAAAGGCCATACAGTAGCATGTTTGTAGAGGGCACTCCTGACTGTGTTCACATAATACTCATGATCATTACAGAAACTTTCTGTGTTTATTCTCTTTCTGAAGATTTGCTTTCTACAAAGCTTAAGCTAAAATTGTTTGTCCTCTATTTCCTCTTTTATATGGTTGGTTCAAAGTAACAATGTTATTTTCCTGCTGAAAATATTTACCCAGTTGTGTTTGAATAAGGGGAGGTGGTGGAGGGGCTGGGGTCAGGAAATGGAATCTTGATGTGGAATTATTCTGCAGCTAGAGCGAGCATCTGTGCAGCATGGAAGGCTCTATGCGTTATATTTTGCTGAAAATTTAGGTGTTGTCTCTTGAAGATCTGAGTGGCTTTCTGTATTTGTATTTATAGTTTTCTGTAACTTGAAAAGTTGCATAAATCATCGTCACACGTGTTTTGGAACATTTTAAAAGGTAGACCGCCTGGGATGATTTATCGTACATATTTGTTTCTTTGTTCTTGCTTTTAGCGCATCAAGTGTAACGTAAGGTAAATTGTCTTCGTCGAGATTTTTTAGTGGCTATTTGTAAATACTTACAGAACCCCTCGCAAGTTAAAAAAAAAAAAATCTAATAGCTTCATGAACAGTGGTACTTGGGAAGCCTGGGGTTTTTTGTATAAACATGTTCTTTGTTCTTCCTGCCCTTCCCCCATGTCTCCTACACAATAATCCTCTCCCTCCTCATGTATCTTGTGATACCCTTACCAGATAGGACACATGCTTTGGCAAGTCTGGCATCTCTTGTCTTTAATAATTGGTCAGCTGGCTGCTGCCAAACAAGGTATTTAATAGATGGGTAGTGTGTGTGAGGACACTGATCTGAGTTTTCACATGATTTGTTGGAATCTGGTTAATCTCTATGAATTCTTTGTTTTCAGTTTGCCTGGAGTTTGGCCATAGTGTAAAAATTATAGTGGAAGAATGGGAAGAACAAAACATGGCTATTGTTTTTTAAATTGGAGTGCAAATGAATCAGTTTTCTAAGTAGTTTGTGGTATCCCTTTCCTGATGGTAGAATTATCATATGATATGAAAGGATTTTGACTTATTAGAGTTTCATAGAGAATAACGAGTCCATTGAAAACCAGATTTTGCTGGTTCCAAGAAGCAGTTGAAATCACTGACTTCTGCTGTGCTTAACAGCTAGTGGTATGGATACCCCTTGTACATCTGTATATTGCCACCTGATTATCTTTAGTACAAAAGAGATGTTCATAACAAATTCAAATAGCAGCTTGAGCAACACTGCTTCTGTTTCACAGCTTTAAGAGTGAACATGGGTTTTAAAAACTTGTAGGCAAAGGCTGTAAAATTGATGTGTAAATGAGTGGTGACAGAGGAACGGTGGGTTAGATAATCCAGGGAAGATTTGGGAATAGATGACAAAAGTAAAAGTAACCGTGGCAGGGACATAAAGGTAGGAAACTAATACAAAATGCAAGTAGTAAAAACACTAATGACAAGTGGAGATCAGGAATACTGGATTTTATGGTGTACTAAGGTTGGAGGGACATTAGGAAGTGGCAGCTATTTAAAAGTAACTAGACATGGTGAAAGTACCCTTTTCATTACCTGGTTTCTTTTGTTTTTTCAGTGCAGTATGGAGGATGATACAA